AGATCAAGAGTAACCTGCAGAGGCTGGCAGAGCTGGGGAAGGTCCACCCAGAGAACCGCTATCAGGACCTCATCAATGACATCGCCAAGGTAAAATAAACCGCTCGTCCCTTCAATGGACAAATAAGAGAGAGGCTGCCTCACGGGTTGTCGTTTCAATGTCTGCAGGACATCAGGAATCAGAGACGGTATCGGCAGCGGAGGAAAGCCGAGCTGGTGAAGCTTCAGCAGACCAACGCCGCCCTGAATTCAAAGAGCAACTTTTACAACGTGCAGATCGACTCCTACAATCAGTACATCAAGACCTGCATGGACAACCTGGCCAGCAAGGGCAAGTGAGTGACCTCCACTGTCTGCTGGTTGTTACTGCTGTCATGAGCTGCACTGCTGCTGGGGATACTGCGAAGCTCAAGTTTGTCACCTACATGTTGGTAAAGTTGTGCGTTTGTCAGTGCAAACCTCAGTACCACATCTGAAACATACTGCACTCAAACGTCCAGCGTAAATGGGCTTCAGACGTGACCTGAAAATGTCACATCCTGTATCCTTTCCCTCCGCAGACGAGCTTACAGCTCACGTCTGATTTGTGTCAAAACCAAACATGGGAGCCAGTCTCTCACACTGGTCCTTGGACTCCTTGTTTTTGGGCTTTAATCTCTAATCACTGAGTGTTTTATAGCTGCCAGATTTTTTTTAATGGACCATCGTTGCCTCTGAAGGTTCGAGGCAGGTTGAGCTTCATAATCTTTTCCTGGGGGATCAAAGATGTTCTTGGCCTGCCCGGCATCTTCTCTCACTGTTGGTGTGGCAGAAAGACCTCTTGATTGTGCCACATGTCTTCCCTCGGCAGACCTGGGGGGGACAAAGAAACAGAAACTGAACATGCACTTGACCTGATGGGCAACCTTCAGGCGTGTTCACATCCTCAGCTCAGTGTGAGCGTTCGTTAGCACAAGCTGATGTCTGAGGCTCGTATCCGCCCATAACAGAAACACAGGCAGTGGCGTGGGCTGCTCGGTCAAATTTAAATCACGAAGCTGTCTTTTTGTTCGTCTTTTGGCTGTTTGAACTCTGTGAATGTGATGAAATTGCTGTTGTTACATACAGCATAAATCTTTGTTCTTTTCCTCCATTTAAATGCACGTTGGCGACTTGCGATGCGTCGTCTGCTGCATGGTGACCGTGCAGCATTGGCTTCAGTGTTTTTAAAGTCTGCATGTCACAGCCTAGAATACAATAGTGAGCCTTGAAGTCTGTGCTGAGAGCTGCTTTTATTGTACACGTGTGTGTCTTTCTTCTCAGGTTGTCAAAGAAACCAGGCGACAACAAGGCTAAGAAGAGCAAACAGGTTTCTCAGAAATACACAGCCGCCCGCCTGCACGAAAAGGGCGTGCTGATCTCCATAGAGGACCTGCAGCCCAACCAGTGAGTTGTGCAGCTGATCACGTTTACAGTTAGCTTCATGAACAGCCCAAGGTTAGAAGTCTGCCGTTCCTCTGCTTTAAACAGCCGTCTTCTGCTCTTTTCTCATCGCAGGTTCAAGAATGCCATTTTTGAGATTTCCCCATCGGAGACGGTCGGAGTGTTTGACGTGAAGGCCAAGTTCATGGGCGTCCACTTGGAGACGTTACAGTTAGAATATCAGGTAGCGTTGCCTTTCTCAGCTTCGTTGGCTCTTCTCGCAGTAGCTTGACCAGCGACGTATTTTGTTTCAGCTCTTTGGGTTTTTGTTTCACAGGATCTGCTCCAGCTGCAGTATGAAGGCGTGGCAGTGATGAAGCTCTTCGACCGGGCCACCATTAACGTCAACCTGCTCATTTTCCTGCTCAACAAGAAATTTTATGGGAAATAGAAGAAAAAAAAAAGGGCTAGAGACACTGAAACCACAACCCCCCCTCTGAGGGTTGCTTTAAAGCCCTGACCAGAACCATGCTGTCTTACCTACACATTTCCTCCAGCACGTCTCCACTGTGCCTATACAAGTTTATGCATTATGTTTTATTACATGGATATGTAGTATCCTTTATTCTTAATGCAAAACCTCCATTACCCAAGTTTTTCCTAGTGCCTCATCTCTCATTGAGGCTCGGTCAGAGGTTTAAGATTTGTAATTTCTGTTTTTGCTCTAAATACTCTGAATATGTTGTGCATGGGCTTAGATCTAAAAAGAAAAAAGTGTATTTTTTTTATGTAAAGAGAGTTTTAGGTCTTTTTCAGCTGTTAGTTCATCCGCTCACCTGACTGAGAAAAGCCCGATGAACATCATCGATGTGCATGCGCACTTTTCAGCAGGGTTGTAGTACACGGCACTTTGTCCAGGAAAAACTGAGAGAAAAGAAAACGATGGGCTCCTTATCTTTGATCGTGTGTTTATGGTGAAAGCGCTGCAGCCGTCTCTCTCTCTGATCATCTTCTCCTGGCTTTACTGTGACATCAGTCACCAAAATGTCCAATTCTAACACTGAGCTGCAGGAGTGTGATGTTACCTCTGAAGTCCAGGCTGCACTGGTGCTGATCTGGCTCTGAGGCCTTTCCTGTCTACAGACGGGTCAGTGGTTTTGAGTGGACTGAGCTGGCCGTGACTGCAGCCCTGCTGCTTCTCAGAACTGACCTGCCGTGCATTTGTGCTTGTGGCTCCCGCAAGAGAAGCAAGCGAAACGTGGAATCACACGAAACTGGGCAGACGTGCCGCTTTGCTGGCTTTCTCAGATAACTTACTGGAAATCATTATTTTTCTTTTTATCTTGTAGAACGATTTGTTACGTTATAAAATGGGAAAGCACAACATGATGCCTGATGAATTGTAAAACAAGATGGGATTTGGACTTGTAAGCTGAGCAGATGTTAAATACTGAGAATGCTTCTAGCGTTGAAAATACCTGGTCGCCATTATTTATATTTTATATGCTTTCAGTCTGCTGGAGCTGATGGTTGCACCATCACCCAACGAGCTCCAGTGTGCGTGCAGTGTTACAGCACCTTGTGGGCCCACTAGATGTCACTCTGCGCTGTCACGTCGTGGCGTTTGAGTGGTCCTTGAAGCGATTGTTTCAGCCAGGCTGAAAATCTGTGCAGACTTGGTGAAATCGATTTTGCTTCTCACGCAGACTCACTTTGATCGGAGGTGGCCACCTTGTGCTCGCTTCATTATTTGTTCTTCATTTGATGAAATGTGCTTGTTCCAGTTTCAGAATAAAGCTCTACCAATGCGCTGCCTTTTTCCTAATCTTACAGTTTTCGTGCAGGAAGAGAAGGCGTTTTCCCAAATGAGCATTTCCATTTTATGTTACAACCACCTGTAAACCCACCTCCACTACACACACAACCAGAAGGAATGTGTAGTGAAATTACAACCCGCTTCCCATAAAGTTTGGATGTTGCGCAAAATGTTAATAAAATGGTGATTTTCAAATCTAGATTTGATTGACAATTAAAAAGAAAACATTAAACAGAAAATGTAACACTTTCAGAAAACGTTCAGTCCATTCTGACTACAGCAGCAGCGACATGCCTCAACAAAGCCCTGGAAAAGTAACAGACTGAGTATAAAAGGAGCATCTTGGAGAGGCAGAGGTTCAGCACTGCAGATCGCTCTTCCTCACTGTAGAATTGCAAAGACTTTGATGATCTCATCATCTGTGCTATGTGATAATATCTACATATTCTAGGAAGCTGAAGGATTCTCTGTGCAAGGATTTCTGAGCCCTCAGGCAGCACTTCAGTAAAAACCGATGTGATTCTGTCAGGGACACTTCCAGACATCACGGTGTCGTCTACTGATGCAGGTTCAAGCCCTGCGATGCGCAGACAAAGCCATACGTGAACCGGAAACACTGCTGTCTTAACATGGACCGAGGAAAAGTGGAAAACTGTTCTGTGGCCAGACAAATAGAAAATGTGAAATTTGTTTTGGAATACAAGGATGCTGCATCCTCTGGGATAAAGAGGAGAGGGACCTTCTGCTTCTCTGCACTACATTAGTGTTTCCACACGAGTGCTGAAAGGTAAAGGCAGGATTTGGAGCTCACATACTGCATCTATTACAACAGCGTGGCGTCACAATGGCAAAGTCCAGGTGCTAAACTTGCTCGCCTGCATTCCAAAGCTTCCATCAGCAGAAAACATTTGACGCATCGTGAAACAAAAGGCATGACAAAGACGAACCAGGACTGCTGTGTCCTTTCCCAACATTTCAGCAGCTGGTCTCTCTGCCCAGAAGTCTACGGAGTAATGCTATTGTGCACAAGATATGCACAACATGCATTCTGTTTTTATTTACCTGTTATACACAGTATTCCAACTTTTTTGGAAATGGGTTTTTAAATGTGTCATACTACTGTGTCATACCCGCAGTTTTCAGTAATTTGATGTACTGTAGCTAAATGCTGAGTATTCTCAGTGTCTGCAGGCTCGACAGCAGTGTGCAGTTTTCCTGCACAGATGTTTCTGTGTGTTTGAAAACTGGGTGCCCTGCATAAACCTGAGACACACACCAAACTTTGTTTCCTGTTTGACTGATTGGATTGTTCACATATCATTAAGATTCTGATTTACACAACCTTTTGTTCCAACAGAACAACAGGACAGTCCAGCTCCTGAATTCTTTTACTTTCCATCATAATATGTGCAAAATCTGGATTTCTAATAGGTGAATTGTAGAGCACAGTGTACTCATGTTTATGGTACATTCATGCACGATGTACATTTTAAGGGTGTTTTTCATGTGTATTTCAGAGCACGATTTGTACATAGCTTATTCCAAGAAACACAGCGTTTTATTATTCTATTTCATAGAAACATGAAAATTAATTTGATAAATGCAATACTTGCATATCTAAATAGCGCATTTAAGAAAATCTTGTAAGCACAGAAGTAGTTTTCTTGATCTATAGCTATAGCCAGTGATGTTCCATGTTTTGTTTTTACTTTTCTTGCGGCTGCGTAAGGTAAGGGCGTGGTGACTTTGTCGCCCCCTTGTGGATACCACAGGTACACACCGCCTTTGACGAGGTAATGTTTTTCTCGCAGTAGTATGAGGATAACAAGCCAGCCGATCTGAGTTGCTGTTACTCGCTCCCTCAACCAAGGACGAATAAGCTAAAAACATTTTTTCCGAGAGACTTCTGGTTTATCGGCGACGGGGAAACCACCGTTTTTTTTCTTCCCTGTCGGCGCTGTTTGTTTTATCTTCACGGAGTCGCTCGGCTGGAGTTTGTCTGCGGTCTCTATGCTGTCCATGGATTAACACTAGAGTCGACTCCGAAGCGCTGTCATATCAGCTAAAGTGTCAAACTGTGGATTGTGATCCTTACGTCACTTGCCAATATTCAGCGGCTGCTTTCCCCGGTTTGGTTGGAAACAAAGTGGAACTACAGCTAAGTCTATGCAAAACGAGCGGAAACTTGTTGAAATACAATTCGGCGAGTAAACCTTTGGCCAGCTGCGGGTCAGCTTTACTAGCGGGAGTGGAGAGATTTAGCTAACGAGGCTATCAACTTTCTCTGACCGCAGCTGTAAATATTTAGGTGGAAGTTTCCTCTAAAAGATACCGACAGCGGGTAGATGTCGACAAGCAGATAAAGTGCATTTGTCGGAATTAAAATGGCACTGACAGTAGCTTAGCCGACTAGCTGTCGCTGTTGCTCTCCGTTCACTTCCAACGCTATGTTAGCAGTGACAGCTAACGCCATGTTAACGTTAGATTCAAACAAGTGGTTCGCTGGAAGAGTGTCAGCGTGAAGTTACAGCTTAACTTTAACCCATTGTCGCCTTGCAGTTTGCCTAGAAAGTCAGAGTAAATATATACTTTGCAAAGTTTTTATTTTGTCCGCTTTTTAGTCACACTTAAACAACTTTTATTAAAGGGAGCTTTGAGTGTTAGCCTAGCCGCGTTAGCTTGCCTGTTGCCTTGTAAAAGCATTGAGACAGTGCAGCCAGCCGAGCTACGTCTGAAGTGACTTTAGTTTAACCGATAACGCGAGGTGTGCTCTTAAAATTCTCATGGGTTTGTTACAACGCTTGCTGAGAGACTTTGCAAAATAAGACCCCACCAGCACAGTCTTCCACTCAAAACAAGTAGCTGAAGTTGTTGAACTGCGGCCCGCACCATGTCCAGCTCCCCAGGCACAGGTGGCTCGAACCCCAGGAAGTTCAGCGAAAAGATAGCGCTGCACAACCAGAAGCAAGCAGAGGAGACGCGGGCCTTTGAACAGCTGATGACGGACCTCAATGTCTCAAGGGTAAATGCGCTTCACTTTCAGCTTGTTGACATTTATTGCTCTCTTGTCTTCTACGCGGATGTGGTCATATACCTCATTCACACCGGAGCTGTCAGGCTTCATCTGCCGGCGGAGATTTCTGGTATTCAACCAGTACTTCTCGTTTCTCTTGAGCAGCCGTAAATCACACCCGTCGATACTCGGCTTATGTAATTCTACTCAAGAGCCAAATATTAAGCAACTTGGGGTGCAGCGATTGACGTACAGCCTTTTTAAACTGCAGTCGGCGGTGAGACAGGAATGGAGAAATTGGCTCCTTAATATTTGCACCAACCGCTTAAAAGCCGTCCTGTTTGTCATGGGCGTGTACAGGATTTTTCTTGAATGGGATGGCACGGGGAGGGGGCACAGGAAGTTTTTGGTTTTTTTAGCACAAATAAATAAAGTGTACACATTAGGCACAGAAAACATGGGCACAGTTTTCCAGCTTCTGTGTAACCCCGTGATGCCGTTATATGAAACATTTTCTTTTTAGACTTACTTTTCACTAAAGTCATAAACCTACTTTATTTTCTTATATATTGTTAATTTTAATATAATATTTTATTAAAAACATATCTAACACAACCGTATAAAAGTTTGAGCACAAGAATAAAGTAACTAAAGTAAAAGCACTCATTATGCAGAATCATATACATAATGATTTTGTCTCATAAGTATTTATGCATTTGTGTATCAGATGAGTTTGACTCCTTACTTAATGACTTTTATCTGTATTTATATAGCATCATTCATTAGAGTTATATTTTTAAACATGCAAAATAAGACATAACTAAGCTTTACAATATAAGTACAATATATTAATCTATATTATAGTGGAGCAGAAGTAGAGACATAGAAGTACTTAAAGTACCAGTGAAGTAAAAGTACACGAGTACTTTTTTCCCCCAGACTGTGCTCTCGCTCGTTGGCCCTGGCGTTGTAAGAGTAACACTACCATATGCTGATGGCGTTGGCAGCCGGCCTTCCAGGCCCCCTTCTGGACATGCTCCGGCTTCGTAAACACTGAAGGAGTTTCCTGTTCAGGAATGCAGAGTTTACACGTTGTCAGTGTATTTCTGGAAAATGCTTTCACAGGTTCAACCTGATGCTTACTGTCTCATGTAATACGAATTTGAAAAGAGAAGTCCGACTAGGGCGAACTAAAGAGGCTCGTGATGTCGGCACATTAGTTACATAGTCTCAGTCTTTGTGTCAGTCAGTGCTTCGCTTCACTTTCTTCACTTGTCACATTTGTATACTTGTAAACATGTGATGACCAGTGTTGGGTTACAATGTAACAATTAGAGTAATGCATTGCTGTAGTCACATTACATTTTTCAGTAACTCTGTAACACATTACTGTACTTAGTTCAGTAAGTACACGGCTGTAACCATTATGTTGTTACTTGTATTAGTGTTTTTTCAGTGTGCCGCCTTTTCCAGTGAACTGTTACTGATGACAGTACCTAATTCAACGTGTGACTCTAGTTTAACAAGTTGCGAGCAGCAGCAGGTTTGTAGTGCAATAGTAGTGACAAAGCAAAGTATCCAAAACATCCAGTGACATGGCACAAGTCAAAATATAAGCAGTCTGGGTCGTGTTTTCTCAGGAAATTTAAAGTAAAAGTATCAAATAACTGTGTAACACGTTAGTATAACAATAACTAAAATAACCTTGTAACTCTTCAGCAGCCTGCACAGTATTTGCCACATAGTAACATTGAAAGTGAAACAATTTTCTGCCTGGCACGTTGAACATTTGAGTGTTTTAACCTGTTGCTTACAGCTCCACTATGCAACTACGTCAGTAATTTCCATCTGTCGTTGGCGCTTCCTGTCATATGGACTGCAACCATGGCTCCATATGACAACCGATGCTCCAGCCATGCTCGGTTCATTCATTTGTTTACATTTGGGTTGCACATTACCTGCTGGTAGCATCTTTTCCTCCTTCGTAGTCTGGTGGGGTTTTTTTGTTTTGTTTTTGTTGCAAATGGTGAAACATCTTTGTTATTTTGGCCTTTATTTTCCAAAGTGCTGTGCTTTGTTGGAGGTTGCTAAGTAGTGCTCTTTTAAGTTGTTGTCAGAGTCTGGCAAGCAGCTCTTGCTCTCAGACATTCCAGGACTTGCCTTGTTATGCACACTAGGGAAGTCATGGTGTTGCTATAACAATGATGTTCTGATATTACACTATTTCAATGTCACAACATTTGTCTTTAGGCCAACCGAAGTCAATAAGGCTGCTGTTGGCAGATGTTGTTGCACGTCCCTGACATGACCACCTCATGTACTCTAGGAACTGTGCTCAATGACTGAAAAGATGATCAGAACGTAATTCTGAATTGTAACTCAAACAAAGACAGATTGATTCTCATGCGATGCTACAAAAAATAAAGAGAAAATGATTAAAAAATAGATGAAAACGTTTCTGTTATTTCCGGACGGATGCCAAACGTTAACATTAGGAGCTGGTAATGGCTCCTGTTGTAGCTGCTCTGTCTGAGAAAAGACACGCTTGTTGTTTAGTGGTTAAACAGCTCTCCACACCAACACTAAAGCCCCATCCCAGCTGTGAAGCATTAGGGTTTGGAGGTGCTTTGCTACCATAGACCTGCATGCGTTGCAGGTGCAATTACATCAGAATTGAGATGGGAAGTTTTCTTAGTTACTGAAGACATTAAATGTACAGTGTTTGTGTATTATTTGCTAGATTGTTTAGATTTGTGACTAGGATGATATCAGACCACACATAAACCTGGAAAATTCATTTTCCTGTGACTGTAAACCTTATGCATTCCAAGTCATAAAAACTCCTTGGATGATATAAAGGCCTTTTCACATTATTCTCATTCCATCCACTGACAGTGGGCTCTTTCTGTGCGAGCGAGAGTCCTGAATGGCTAGTCAAAGAGGATGTGGTTTTGAGGCGACACTGAGTTAAGTTTGCCATAAGATGTGAACTGTAAGTGACCTCTGAGACAGAAAAGCCCAGTCAGTGGCCAGGCCACAGGGCACACTTGAAGCAAACAGCTGAAATTAGAAATAGCTGCTTCAGCATTTACACCGACCATAAAGTCTTACTATCAACCCCTGAGAAGCTCTGCAGAACTCTGCATTGTAGCGAGTACACCAAGAGGCTTAAGTCTGCACCCTTCACATACATAAATATATGTAGATGTTACATAAAGGCTGACCCAGACACTCTAAGAGAGGCAATATTTTTTTCATGTGTCCTACATTAATAATCAATGTTACTGAAATTTGAGGCTAGAAACCCTCTGACATTAAATACCAGTTGTTGGCAGTAAAAATTTCTGAGTTGGCTTGAGGAAGCCTGTGTTTACCAACTTTTCTGTCGTGTATATCACAGACCCATTGGTTACTGACCACCAGCACCTCTAAACACCGTACCACTGTCTGCTGTGCTGTGTGTGCTGAATCAGAACAGTCTTTCGCCCACACTGCACAGAAACTGATACATTTTGTGCCAAAAGATAAGGTTTTTAGTCCAGTGGTCCTAGCTCGCCCCGAATTTCTTGCCAACTTCAGTCTCTTTGTAAACTCTTATACAACACGATACAATCAAACAAGGCCAGTCTTTGAAATTTAAATTTTGTCCTTTCGGCACTCTAAGGGAAGTTGGCCCTCTGATTTGCCTATCCCCGATCACAGCTAAGGGCCGGCCCTGTTTACCTTGGCAGAACAAGCTGCTTTCTGTTTTCTGCGAGGTAATCATTGTGGCGTCTTTGCAGTAGGCTGCTAATGTGGACGCCAAGCTGCCCCTAGAATGTGTCCCCAGTGTCCAGTGGATATGGCTGCTTTTTAATCAGACAGACAGTTTTTAATGCATTTATACATTACGCCTGTCTCTCTGTTCACTTCCAAAATGTAGATGGTAAAATCAGATTGAATAATAAGAGCACAGCTGTGCTAAAGCATCTGGAGTGGCTGCTTGCACTACGATATTGCTTCAAACTGATTGAAAACCATAAATCCATTTGATGAGACATGCAAAGAAAAAAAATGCAATTTAAGGAGCAGTGACAGTATAACAGGAGTGGGCCCCAAGTGACATTTTAGACATCCGCAGGATATTGCAGAATTTGAAGTATGATATAAGGTCGGTTGCTCAAATTCATTTCTCATTCAGAACTTGTTCTCTACGTGCCCAGACGATCAACACGTGACTCTGTTTTTGTCGTAGGTCCAGTTTCAGAAGATCCAGCAGCTTCGCTTGTCTCAGTCAAGGGCACAGTACTACGGAGGCTCTCTGCCCAACGTCAATCAAATCGGCAACACCAGCACTGAATTTCAGGTGGGAACTCGTCACCATCAAAATATACAGCACCCACACAGACTGCATTCAAAATGTAATAACACCTCTCTAAGACTTTAAGCAAAATGAAATATCATGGACTTGATAAGGTCGGTATGAAATCTGTGTGGAAAAAAAGCCCAGAGGTTTAACAGAAATACTCATTGTGCACTTGGGCCAATTCTTGTGCAGTTATGCTGCAGTGAAGTTGAGCCAAATTCAACTCTTTCACTAGACGAGCCTTATTTCTGTCTTTCTTTATATATGTATGTTTGGTCTTGGTGGAGCTCTGCATTAGCGCTGCAGCTGCATCAGTGCAGCATTGTTGTTCAAACCTATTGAGGAGGCCTCACAGGGCTAATGTCAGTTTGAACATGGCCTCAGGACATACTGGTGCAGAAACACGGGAGGTTTTAGTCGGTTTGAAGTTTTGAAGTTAAGCTAAAAAAGATTTCTTATTAAAAGAAAAGAAAAAGATGTGTGCTTTCCTTGAAATTGCAGTCCATCATGTGTAAGATCTCGTTTTCATTGAGGGGTTGTTCAAGGTCAGCTGTGTTTGATGCCCACTTTTGATGTGCGGCTCAACTGCAAAAGCAGCAAAACTGTGTGCTGGATCTTTAGAAGTGCAAACAAGCTGCTCTCGAGAGCATTAAATAATTCACTCGAGTTTCTGCAGACTGGAAGAAAAACCAGGATAAAACATCAATGCTGCAGTTCTAACAGAGCTTTTCTGTCACACTGGGACGTGTATCAGTTCTCTGAGGAGTATCTGTCCTAAGATACACAAAGTCCAGGTAAAGGTGTCCCTGTTAGCTGAAAGAATGGCCTTTTGAGGTGGAGCTTTCCCCTCACTGACGAATAAAGCCTCCCTCACTGATCGAGTGCATTCGTCTCTACTGGGACTCAAACTAAATGGCTTCTAGCTCTTACTCGATTGTGATCATTTGTTAGCCCTAATTCAATTAAATGAGTGCAGAGTGCTTAATGTAATACTTGCCAAGGCTTTCTTAATCAGACAGAATTAACCCATTTAATCCCAACTTTTCCCAAACACCACAATACTACCATCACGTGTTAAGCCTTAACGAGAGGTAGAGCAGGGCGATATGGCCAAAAATATTTATCACGATATATATTTGAAAATTTGCGATAACGATATAACTGACGATATAATTGACGCAAGACAAAACAGAACTCCATACTAGCGAAAAAAAACCCCATCCATTTCTTTTCACTTAAACAAGCAGCGGTTTTTTATGTGCATTAAAGCTATATAAACATTTAACAGTGTAAAAGTAAATTCCTTGCTGAAAGTTTAACCAAAAGGCATTTCCAGTAGAAATGCGCTGACATATCCTGAGCATAACCATGTATAATATCCACTGAAGTTAAAAAGAGGTGCTTTGCTACATTAAACTGCATAAAAAAGTCAAATATGTATTTTTCGGACCATAAGGTGCACGGGATTATTAGGCACATTAAGCGAAACAAAGCAGTCAGATAAATCAAACTTTATTCAACTCACACTTCTTGCTTCCTCCACTTCTGTACTATTGATTC